GAAGGATGCCTCAAGGGAAGGATGACTCTGGACAGGGCTGCGGCCAGGATCGGGCGCCGTGCCCCCCGCCTGTCCTCGGTCCTGTACATCAGGAACAACAGACCCTACCCTGGAGTGGTGGCGAGACAGCAGAAGGGAGGAAAAGCTACCCGGGAAGTGGAGAAGGAAGAGACTAATTTAAGACGGAGGCTCGATGTGCATTAAAAAAACAACCCAGGCACATTAAAAACCTAACCCAGGCTGTTAGTAGGTTAAAACAGATTAATAAAGAAGTCTGAGAAACCAACAGTGGTGCAGAAAACATCCACACCACACTAAGCTGTCCTTCAACCCCCGCCCCTCAAATTCATTTATTAATGCTTCTGGCTGAACAAGCATTCCATTAACATGGAGAAGAAAGACCAAGAAGGGGAGCAATAGTGGCTGATGCTGAGCCCTCTCAGGACAGCTCCTGAAGGCAGGATCGGGATGAAGTGCAGGATGAAGCAGTGCACACTGGTTGCAGCTCTGCCCTGCTTGAACCCAGCAGCCCAGGCCCGGACTGCTCCTTCCCGCGGCACGGAGCTGGAAGCGACTGGCCAAGAAGACTCGCCAGTGCACAATCAGGCCCTGCAACCATGGAACACCTTCATCAGCTTGGAAGATGCCCACAGGTTTTTCATGAATTTATTCTATCAGGAGACAGGGATAATTGGTATCTGGGGATGATCTGGGGAACTTAAACATACAGAAAAAGCGACAGATTTTTCCCTTCACAGCTGGAGATTTTTTTTTTTTTAAATATACAAATTTAAACAGAACAAGCATTTATATTTCAGCTCCAAGATGTTTTACAACTTAGAAATCTTTCCATCCCCTGGCCACACCAGTATTCTGTAACTCTAAAGCAAAACATTATTTCAACAATAACAATGTGAAGATACAGCCCTTGTTGTCACAGATGTAACACACTGTATCCATGGGGTACATTGGGCTGGGATGAAAACCTGAATCCTTTCTGCAATGTAGTCTTCCATCTATTTCCCACCCCAGCCTGCAAAGAAATCAGGTCATCTCCTTTCCACAGAACATAACAAACGGGACTTAATTGGGACAAGACATCCTTTCCTCAAGTTGTCATCAGCAAGTGCCTCTGTGGCCCAGCTCAAGTCCTCTCGTACAAGCAGAGCTCCCTGGTTTCCACTTGTTTCTGTTTGTCCTGACAAAACAGTGCAATCTACTACCCTGAACTGGAAACTAGGGTCACCTGCTGCCTAATCTGAGCAGCTTCCACACCCTCCTTTCACTGGAGTTCCATCTTGTGCCACATGACATTTCTTATGACTCTTTGGGCAAAGTGGGATGATCTAGAACACCTGAGCTGGTCAGCCCTCAGCCTGCTGATCAGTGGTTTGCCAGGTTTCTCTCCAGATGTCCGTATTTTGAGATACTAGGCTTCAAAATGATCACATTGTTCAGGAAAGAGGTTCCAAACAGTCTGAAACGGGGGAAGCTTCCAGCATCACTTTACAGATGCCACCCCTGTGGCCCTGCTGCTACCACACCCTTGCCAGGCAAACTCAACGCACCGTTTCAGGTGTCCAGGCCCCAGAGGATTCAGTGGGAAGCACATCAACAGGAACAGACACCAAGAGAACAACGTTCTCCTGCTGGGGAACTTCTGAATTCACTCGTCATCCCACAGCCTTAAAAAAATACAATCAAGAACAACAATGCTGAAGTGCAAATAAGCAAGTTGGCAAAAAAAATAGCAAACACCCAAAGGGTTGTAACTAACATCCACCATCTTTCCTAGGTCTTTAACCTAAAAAATAACACTGCCTTTGAGGAAAGGATCTTCCAAGTAGCTGCCAGGAAGGCTGAGAACCCAGTCTGATTGCAGTTGTTTGGAAAGTTAACACGTGGAATGACATTTGCCCTCCTCACCTGATGAGACAGAAATTGCCCCTTCTCCTGGTTTTATTCCCAACTTTGAATGCATTCTGCACAAACAGAAACAGACCAATCCCCATTTTTACACACAAACAGAGCTCACAGTGCTGTGCTATTTCTAAATAAACACACAGACTCCTCCCAAATTACTACCTCACAATCAACAAGGATCCTTGAAGACTTTTACAACATACCTGGTGCAAGTATCCTTTGCTGCACCCACAGCCTCCGCTGTCGTTGCTCCAGAGGCACGGAACGTGCTCAGCAAGGACAACTGCCCAAACTGGCGCTTCCCTCGGGTTCCGAGAACGCCGGGTGCTCGCTGCAGCTCTCCGATCGGATCCGCTCGCTCTCCTCACCACCCCCCAGCTCCAGTGATCTGGAACTGAATCCTAACGCCACTTCCGTGTATGTAACAACAAGGTATAGTGAACCAGAAGAAAATGTTGGACAGAAGAGATATGCACAGGCAGTTACGTTACAGAAGGAATGTAAATCCCAGTGGTGACATCTGTTCACAAAAATTAATTTTTAGAATGTGCAAGTAACTTACTAGAAAAATCACTTTTGAAAAGCACAAGCAAAGGAAAGCAGGTTTACAACAACATGTTTTATATTATTTTTACCAGAGATTTTTTAATATAGCTTATTAAGTTTTAATATTGCTTTACAATATAGTGATATTAAGTTTATAAGACCTTGCTACTTGTCTTCTGCGGGTTTTCTCTAACAGAGGTACCATTCAGATCCTCAGACTCATTTCATTTTATTAACTCGGACCTATCAGGTTATTTTTAAAATTTCCATAAAGAAGTACATGGAAAACATTACTAACTGTCACACTGGTTTAAAATTGTGTTTTCACTTTAAAAAAATGAAGGGATTAGTGTTTGTTTTACATATCATCTGAGCTCATCATTATACTTTTTGCATACAGCAATCGTGCAGATTAAAAATATTCTTGATCAATTTTGCATAGCTTATAAATTGTTTCTCCATCTGAAGTTGGGATACGTCTCCTGTACTGTTAAGAAAAAAAAGACCAAATTAGTCACAAACTGACACTTCCATGCTATATATAAACACCAGACTATCACAGACTTCACCAGTACATGTAATTCTGTACACGACATCTTTTATTATAACAACTGGAATACTTTCCTTGGCGCCATTGTTGAGTTTTAAAGGAAGGTGATAAACATTAACTGTTTCACAATGTAACCTAGCAATATAGAGACTGAGTAATAAAAAAGGGTTTAGTAATCTTTCAGTTAAAGTTCAGACTATTAAGATTTCTAGATATTAAGAAATTTGAGGCAGCAGAGCATTTGTTGAACTTGCTGAAATTTAACTTCAGAGAAAAAAAAAATGTGCTGGTAAGTTAAGAACAGTCAGACTATTTTTATCTATTTTATATTTTAAAAAAGATTATATATAAATAATATAGACAATTATTAAAATATATAATAGAGAAAATACAAACCATTTTAATCAGATGTGGTTTAAAAATATGAAACAATGACCAAGATACTTATATCCAAACATGGGAGTATGAAAAGGGTGTTTTGGGAAAAAAAGAAAAAAAAAACTAACAAAATTTAAAAAAACCCAACCTGGCTTAAGAGATGAAAATCAGCAGCTCAGACAAACAAATGAGCTACCTGACATTTAAGTCTTTGTAGGGAAGACTGCAAGACTACCTTAAGAAAGTAAGTTAATTTATCCATTACTTCATCTAAAGAGAAAATGGTGATGTTTGAGCTGCCTTGGCAGTGAAAGGGAGAGATAAAAAGTCACCAGAAGCAGACACCCCAGTGGAATCTGGTGGAGCCAAACTGGGAAGGGTGTGGGTCAACAATGGATGTTAATGACCAAGAGCTGAGACCCCATTTCAAAGCTGGTGCAGGAAGGATCATGCTGGCAAGCGTCTACGAAGCATGCCTAAGGACATAGTTGCTGAACTTCAGGATTGTATTCCTGGCACTCTTGTCTCTCTTCTTTGAATAAAAAGCAGGTCACTATTGCTACAAAAAGTCAGTCTCAATTGTTCAAACAAATGGTACCTAATAGCTGGTTTATCATTTAAATAAATAGAAGGTCTGTGTTGGAAAAAAATGTGCTAATTTCATGTTGCTACTCAGGTTGGTAAGTGCTGACAACTTGAAACAGTTGTAAACACTCGTGCAATTATTTACTTATAAGGAGGCAGTCCTGGCTGCAGTTATGTCATGTACAGAAACAAATAAATTCCTCTTCTTCTAGCCAAGTCCTGCTTCCATGTGTGCATGCCGTTACAGAAATAGAACACTTCACCTTGTTCACCAAAAATACTGGCTCAGGTGAAAAGAGTAAACTAAATATAGCTGGCTCTCCTAAGAACTGTACTAATCAAAAACTGTACAGATTTACTCTGTGACCTTAGCCATCCCTAGAACACATATGTACAACAACATGTATTTAGGAAAGGCAGAAATGTAACATCTAACCCCATAAAAATGCTGCATATGGGCGTATTTATGTACGAATTTCAGGACATACACAAAGGTATAAACACTAGCGCAAGGAATGTCTTCCATGGTATGTTCTAAATAAAAATTTAAAGGTCTATGCATTGCAGTAATCTGTGCTCTAACCATGTCACAAATATAAAATGTTTTCTGAAAGTTTGGAAATACCATAGACTTTTTGTGTGTAATTCCAGTTCAAACTGCCTAAGGACAGCTACTGCAACCAACTGCAGTTCCCTGCCCCCAGGAGACAATGCACTAAACTACAATGAGAAGCAGTACACAGAAAATCAAAATGAAAAGGACTACAACTTACACACTTTTCCCTCTTTTTCCAGCTTCTTCAAGTGGACTAGGAGATTAACTTCTGCTGCTTTAAGTAAATTGTCAGGGATCTCCTAACAGAAACACAAATATGCATTTTGTGTTTGTTTATATATTCCCCCAATTATTTTTTCAATACACAGAACTCATGGTTTATTAACATTGATTTTCCTCCTCTGGACTGCTGCTAAATGACAGCAAACTGAAATGAGTAAATCAATTTTACACCAGTTACACTGGTAGCCCAATAACACATTTTTGTTTATTTTTCTCATTTTTTGCATTATCTACTTGTATTACAGAAACTTCAGCCAACACTGAGGAGACCATGCCCTTCTGAGCTTGATCTCATCAGGACTGTCAGTGTAGCTGAGCTCTTTAAAGACAAATTGAAAGATGCATTTCTCCGCAGATACCTATCACTTCTATTCCATGACAACACTTGCATTGGTTTAAATACTGTTTAACAATTACTATTTTAAAATTGTTTACTCATTTACAGAGACAACAGCTTCAGGAGGACAAAACACCTCTTAATTTTTTTCAACACTCATTAGGTAAAAACCAGAAATGTTTCTCAAAATCCCTGTCTCCGGCTCTATCGTTCTAGAATTCAAGACTTCTTTTTGAACACTAAGAACTTCACTAAATAACACAGGTCTGGCAAGAACATTCACGAGAAAACTAGCTCAGTAAATTGTGAATCTTTAAAAAGCTTTGAAAGGTTACGCTTTTTTTTTTTTTAAAAATATACGAAAGCTTTAGCAGTACTGAAAGAATTCCTATTCTATAGTGGTAGAACAAGTGGTTTGTGATTTACAGAAATATGAATGGCTCTATACTTAAAACCTTCAGTTGTTCAAGGAGGAAAACTGCAGGAGGGAACAGCCACAGGCAGCAGTACATAAACCCTGCAAAATGTTCAGTGTGACAGTCATTGCTCTGGAAACCATGAGAGACAAGTTCTAAAGCTTTCACAGACCTGTTCACAAACCACAGCCACTGGCAACTCTGACACGTTTTAAGAACATAACAATTTTCTTTAGTCTGATATAAAAACTTTTGATCAAGTTACCTTGTACACTATCTTTACAAGCTCTGAGGATGTGTATGATTTTCCAGCATTCATCTGTAAAGCATCTAGGATCTGCTGTTCACGTGCAATTCGGTGAGAAATGTAGTTTTGGATTCTATGACTTGCATCACGTACTACTGGGCCATGACCTACATCAAAACACAAGTACCAAAGCACTATTACTTAAAATTGGAATTAAAATGCCATAGAATAATCAAATCATTCTTAATTTAAACTGTGGCAGACTTAGAAGTCCTAAGAAGGGAGCAGCACCTGTATGTACCACCCTGTTGGAGTATCCTTGATGTTAAAATTGTAAGAGGTGTTTTGTGGAAAAATCAAATACTGCCTCATGACACCCTAAAATGATAGATGAAACGAAAATATTTTTCAGACATGAGTTACATGAACAATAATTAATGTTTTACCTAGAAAGAAATTCCCTTGCATGAAAATTTGTCACATGCTTTTAATAGCAAAGTGTCTTATTTCTTTGCCTGTGAACCTCACCTGAAGCAGCAGCAGCAACTTCCAGCCCCACCACTCTAAACTCCAAGTATTTTATAAACTGTGAGTGGAACAGAAACTACTATAAAAAAAATCCATAGGTTTCTTGTAGAAATTTTCAGACATCACTTTCTTTTGAGATTCTTTTAACAATTTTTTAAAAATCATCATATTCCTTACTTGTACTTTTGGGTTAACTGACTAAATGGGTTTTTAGTTTTAAGACTTTTAAAATTAGAATTTATTTTGCCCAAGGACAGGCAGCATACAGAAGAAGAGCAACTAATTTTTCATGTTTTAACTATCTGTGAAATAGTGTCAAAGGAATCTGTCCTTCAGGAAGTCAAAATATTGTGCACCTCAACAGATATGCTTACCTCAGCAGATCTAAAACTACTAAATACACATTGAGACTTACCTTGTGTAAACACAGTATTATAAATAAAAGATATGTAACATGTAAATATAAAACTATACTGACATTTAATGATTTTAAACATATTTAATATGAAGCTATTGGTCCTTGCAAAGTAAGTTAAAAATATAACAGTATTGCTAGTAAATATGTTGCCATTTATAAAAAGTTTAGATTTACAACAATTTAGGTAAGATTCAGATATACAGAGGAGAGACTGTAACTGTCCATTCTCTAATAACAGATATGACATTTAAGTATTCAAAATTAATGCCTGCTCATGGAATCACAAGCCAGTCTCAAAACCAGTCCCTGCTCTTCTCAGCGATTTAGCAAGACCCATGTCAGTACCTGGAATAGAACCCACATTTTGCAACATTAAAGGCCTTTTATACCCATTACATCATCTGATCCATAGGCAGTGTGTTCGCATATACATATATTAAAGCTATGTCAGAAACCTTGGAACTAAATCCAGGTGTGGATCGTTCCTACCCCCAATTTTTCAGGGACAGCAGCCACACAGGCAACTTCACAAAAAAAAAAAAAAAACTCCTACCTGCATAAACTGTAATGCAGTTTATGCATTACAGTAAAAATGTTTCTGAGCATAAACATAAAATGTTTCTGAGCAAGTGATCTCTCACAATATGACTGTCTTGCCAATAATTCAGACTTTTTATCAGATAGCATCATTTTATTTCTGACCTCTGTATAGCTCAGATGACCAGAAACAGTAAGTTTTTATTCTTGTAACACCCAGTGAAATAATACAGATTATCGTCTTTTACAGTAAATTAAAACACAAAAGATAAACTGATGAAAATAATTAGCTCATGAAATCTTGCACAAATTCCTAACTGCAGTACCGTTTTTTTTTCTGTATTACCAACGAACACCATTTATTGTGACAGGATAGGGAGCCCTCTGCTGACTAAAATGCCCTTTTCTGGTCCCAAGGATTCTCACCGTCAGCTATAAATAGACTGTCTTGAGTACTCTGCTTGAAGTCATTTCCATATTAAATTAAAAAAGAAACATGGAAGGGGAAGGATTGGCAAAATTCAGCTTCTCACATCTAGCCAGCAGTCAGCCTGTTACAAAATTAATGCTCCCTACATCAAATTCTGAGGCTGCAATGTGATTGCAGAAGCACGGATGTGGAACAGAGAAACAGTTCAAGATTATCAAGACCTAAAACCAGAATAAAGTTGAAGTACCGAGCTTATAAAGTACTGGTGAAGCAAACTCCCTCCTGCTATAGCTACCACTCCACTGCAGCACATACCAATCATATCAAACAGCATTCTGATTGGGCCATAGTTATCTTCTACACAAATGCGCAGGTGAGAAAGGAAAGGCACTGCCAAACCATCTCGATACTCGCTGTTCCTCACTGAAAACGCGTAATACCCCTACGTGCAAGCACCGTGGGGACATCCTTACAATGCGCAGCACGCAGCTGCAAATAAACGCCACAACATTCCACCTTGGTGAACGTGTAATCTAGATAAATAACAACTAAGGAGAGTGAAGTACAACACATGAAATCATAAACCAAACAGAATTTGGCATACATGGGGTTTTGGAAGACAGAAATTAATTCAGAGAAACCAGATGTGTTTTGTAAGTATTTAAAACATTTGATTAATAGATTTGAGATTCTGGACGCTAAAATCGTTTTACCAAGCAGTTAAGTCAAGAACTATGAACAAGTCACTATTTGTATGCCAGCCTCCACAACCACGGAATATCTATAAAGATATTCCTCTTAAATACCATTTTTGTGCTTAGATCTTAAAGCACCTACTTCAAAAGAAGTGTATTGGGAATGGACACAGAAGAGATTTGGTTATGTAGGCTAAACATAGATGGGTAACGGAGGAAGAAAAAACTGAGAACGCAGACAGAGTTGCTCAGAAAGACAAGTTGAAGATCAAACACAGCGAGTCATTAAAAATCCTGAAAAAGCAAATGAGGAGCTTAAACCTTAGTTACATAATGAATTCTTAAAATCCAGTCTTGTCAAATAGACATCTGGTTTATATGAAAAGTAAATGCATTCCCAAAGTTTGGGGGAGATAACAGGAAAAAAATTAACACAAAGACACTGACTGAATAAATCGGCAACTTATTTTCAGAACACAATGTTGGGCCTCTTGGTTCGTGTTCAAATTTAAGCTAGGTCATTAACCAAGATAACCATTTGACAATTCTGTAGCTTTCCAAGATAAATTTGTAATTAATCTGTGCTGCAAAGGACAGACATCTCTCTCAAAAAATGTTACTGGGTTATTCACACTGGCAGTGTACGTGGGGATGCAAAGGAACACAAGAACAGCTATTACTTTTTTCTTCCAGACTAACATTAAGCCACATGGATACAGTAATATATGAAAATCAGATTTGCTGTATGATTCCAACAGTGCACAGAAGCACAATCAGAGAAATCTATCACTAAGAAATTTTCAAGTCTTGCAAATCACCATGCCAAAAAGTCAACTTAGATTAGCGCTGGATGTGTATTAGGTAATGAACTCGAACTGCTACATTAGTAATGGTTTTGATTGTAATAAGAGTTCTCAAATTCTTAGAGGAGATACTTAAAAGTTATACAGTAAACCAGAGCAGTTATAAAGAGAACCACTTACCTGGATATATTAAATTCAGTTTCATTTGCAACAACTTTTTCAAAGTTTTCATGTAATCACTCAGGTCTTCAATTACTGTTGTTCCTTCCCCTAAAATACAGTCACCAGAAAATACAGCGTTTTCTTCTTCTAGGTGTAAAGCCATATGATCATCGGTGTGTCCAGGCGTATATAAAACTCTTTAAACAACAACAATAGACAGGCCTAAGTTTGTCATACAGTTTGTGCTTCATTTTCAGAAGCTATGACCAAATAATGATAAACCATACACTTACAAAACAGCCCACAGCAAGAACCAGAAAAACAGACCTGAAAAGGCTGCAATGTTCATGTAAACAGGCCATCAATCTGTCAACTGCCAGTCTGTTCTCTTATACCACGTAGAGAACAGATCATCATTGTCTCTAACGTGTGTTTACTTATACTGTAATAAACACACAGTGTGGGAGCTGGATAGTCAGGAAGCATTTGTGTTAGATGGCTTTCTTCTGAAGCATTAAGAAAGAAAAACTGACATGTCCAGACTGAAATCTGCAAAGTTCTTAATGTATACCTTGCACTTAATAAAAGAAGGTAAGGATGATATTGTCAGTTCTTCTAGAAATTAACTATAAACTTCTAGAGCAAATCAAATAAAGTTCAGTCTCACAAAAACTGTTTTTCCCTGAAAGCTCCATGGCACAGTGAAGCAGAGCCACCCAATACAAGAAGGAACTACAAACACCTGAGTAGTTAGGATTTGGGCCCCTGCTGCTTGAAGGAGCACTGACTGGGAATGACAGCCAAGATGCACAGTCACCTGGGCTGTGAAGCAGGGGCACGGCAGCCTCCTTCCACCACACTTCTGGAAGGCAGAAGGCCTCACACGAGGCTGATTCACACTGAAAGCAACACAGTGCAGACCACAAAATTAGTCGGACTGGCCAGGAAGGCCAATGGTGTCCTGGGGTGCATTAAGAAAAGTGTATGCAGCAGAACAAGGGAGGTCCTTCTGCCCCTCTACTCTGCCCTGGTGAGCTCTCTCCTGGAGTGTTGTGTCCAGTTCTGGGCTCCCCATTTCAAGAGGGACAGACATCTACTCGAAAGAGTCCAGCAGAGGGCTATGAGGAGACTGGGGGACTGGAACGCCTGCCCTGTGAGGAGAGGCTGAGAGACCTGGGGCTTTTTAGTCTGGAGAAGAGAAGACTTAGGGGGGATCTAATTAATGTGTACAAATAGATGCGGGCTGGGTGTCAGGAAGGAAAGGGCAATCTCTTCTCACTTATGCCCTGCGATAGGACGCAGGGCAACGGGCACAAGCTGGAGCACAGGAAGTTCCACCTCAACATGAGGAAGAACTTCTTTACTGTAAGGGTTCCAGAGCACTGGAACAGGCTCCCCAGGGAGGCTGTGGAGTCTCCTTCCTTGGAGACTTTTAAGACCTGTCTGGATGTGTTCCTGTGTGACCTGCCCTAGACTAGATGGTCCTGCTCTGGCAGGGGGGTTGGACTCAATGATCTCTGGAGGTCCCTTCCAACCCCTGACATTCTGTGATTCCTGTTAATGGCAGATGCATCAAAACTGCAATCAGGACCTGACAGAGCTGGTGCTGTGTGGCACACAGTTCTGCAACCGGGATACAATTCACACCTAAACTGAGGAAAACAAGCAAAATTTGTCCTTGGAAGATAGGAAGTCTGCATGTGTAAGTATTGACAAGATCAGATGCATGGCCTGCCTATCACTAGAAGTCAGGATACATGTATGTGTCAGAATTCTGAAGAAAAAACTGATCCAGCAAACTTACAGAAATTGGTGTTTACCTGAGTGTGGCTCCCTCTGTCTGTATCACATCTCCATCTTTAAGATAAAAATATTTATATCCTCCTTTTATCTCTTCTTCACAGTGAGGGACACGAGGGAGCTTACAGATGCGATATTCAGATTCTATTTAGAGAAAGCAAAGAAAAGGATGTTTTGAATTTGCCACTAACAAAGCTAACTCCTGAGAAAGGCTACTTTTGGAAAAAGTACTATTAATTATTACACAGTATGAATACAAAACTAGAAACATGAAATCCTGTACAGCAACTTCATTTATAAAGCAACCTTATTCCAGAGCCACTAACACTGAATAGTGACAGCCACTGAATCTGAATACTGTACTCTGTACCAGCAGTTATTCTGAAGATGAAAAAGCATAAATGAAATTAAAAAAATCTGATAAAGACTGTGACAGCTTGTGACAAAGTTCAGTGAAGCTAAGAACCACACAAACCACACTGCTTATGCTCTTCCCAGATACTAAAGTAAAAATGTCTCTTACTGTTCATCAACATGAAATACATACTTTTAGATCAGAATTTACCTGCAGACTGCCCCACCCTCTTTCACCTCATCATCTGAGGCCTAGAAATCTGTCAGCAATTATTAATGATTTGCTGTAAGGAATCTTTAAGTTATGCAAGGTTCTTTTTCAGAAATTAGGTTATTTACTGTTTTTACAGAAGCAAAAATAACAGCCAATTTGTCATTAGTGTCCATGTAGAAAGGAAAGAGTACCAAGTTTTCCTCAAGTTTCTTAACACAATTTAAACTGCTGATGGTAATTTAAATTCTCATTATGCACATGTAAGGGAAACTCACTACGAAGGTACGCACAGGTATTGAAGAAAAACTGTAGTGCTGCAACTACAATATTCAGATTATTCATTGCTCACATTCACCACACTGCAACCATGTTATGAAATGACATGCAGATTATATGGAGACTCCAGAACAACGATCTAGCTTATTTGCATAGAAGCACTCAGTACTTTTCTTGCCAAGTATCTAACATTTTCAACACTACCCACGGTCTCTGGCCTACCGTTAGGGATACTTTGGCAGATATCAGGTATTCCGCCAGTATGGTCATGATGCCAGTGTGTCACTACAATTTCTTGAATGGAGATGTTGAACTCTGACAGCGCCTGCTTTAAACAGCTGATATATTCAGGAGTAGCCGGCTCCCCTGTGTCAATAAGGACCCTTCTACACGGGGACGGCAATAAAAAAGACAAGAGCGAAAACAAAACAAAACAAAACAGTAAGCGAATGCAGAGCGCTCATGTGACAAATAACGTTTAAAAACCCCCACAACACTGCACGTAAATGTAGCAATGAATAACCCCCGGTCCCAGGCGCCATCTTTCCCCTCCATGATATTCTACCGCTGCGGCGCAACAACATAGAAACGGGGGGAAATTGTAAATTTGCAGCTCCCGAGAGGAGGCATCCACCCGCTTCCCTCGGGGAATCCCCCGCCTCAGCCCAACCGGGAGCCAGAGGCAGCGCAATGGCCGCGGGCGGGGGAAGGGGAACTGGACGGGGAACGTCCCCCGTCCCCTTCCCCCGCCTGGGGTCGTTACCTGATCCCGGTGCCCACCAAGTAGGTGTTGGTGCCCTGCAGAGTCATCGGCCCCGGGTTGCAGCCCAGCACCCTGACCACCCGAGACGAGAGCTGCTCGATGCGCGGCAGCAACGACACCATGGCGACTCCGCTGCCCTCAGCCACTGCCGAGGGCGGGAAGGCGGAAAGGCGGAAGGCGCTTCTTTCCCCGGCTCCGCCTCCTCCGCCCTCAGCCTCTGCTCTCCGAGGGCACCGAGCGCGGGCAGGGGCTGCCCAAGGAAGCTGTGGGGTCTCCATCCTTGGAGACGTCCAAAAGACACCCAGACGCGACCCTGGGCAGCCTGCTTCAGGTGGCTGCTTGAACAAGTGGGGTTGGACCAGCTGACCTTCCGCGGTCCCTTCCCACTTCTGCCATCCTGTGAAATTCGGTCACATCATCCAAGCAGCAAGGCTGCCTTTGCATATCCAGAGCCTGCGAGGTGCTGAAATTCACACCCCTTGGGCTTCCAAGCGTCACCTACGAACCCCCTGCCTGTCACCTGGCGTTGGTAGAGAAATGGGAGCAGACTTGTTCTTTCTCTAAAGTACTTGCAAATGAAGAATAAAGATAATTTAACTTGAAATTAAAGTAGGTAAGATTACTGTGGGCAACTTTATGAATATTGTAATTTCAAACATTTTCTGACTGCTTTATACCTGCACCAGATCTTATATATTACCTGTAACAAATGTAAATTTAAAATGTGATTACAGCAGCACAAAAAATGTGTTTGGTGGTAGCTAATTTTTTCCTTAAGCATTTTGTTATTATATGAAAATAAAGTTGTAACCCTTACATATGATGCGGGGACATTTGTAGGATCTGCATGGGCAAACAGAACAGATTCCCACTCTTCTAAAGTTGCAGAAATCCCCAAATGTGATCACAACAGGCAAAATTCCAAGTTAGATACAAACAACTCTGACTAGAGCATTGAACTGAAAAACAAAACTTTGTGGTTCAACAGAACTTTGTAACCTTATGAAACGTCAAAATTTAAATTTTTTGGTTTGCTTAGATGCTAATGTGGTTTATACGTGCAATACATGCTGGGAGATGAGTTATGCAGCAATCAAAAAAAAATCTGCTCCTCTGCATGGACTTGGATTGCAGTTGGCAACTGCCAGGCATCACAAAAGCCAGGGACAGATACTGGTGATCCCTGTATTTAGGCTTTCAAGACAACTTCTTTGATTTTTCTGATAAATAAAAACTTTAGTTATTTGAGCTATAAACCCATTACTCTTTTTTTTTTAATTTTTTTTATTTCAAAGCTCATCAGAGCATGAACTACAAACAACAGAAAGGATGTTTCAAGTCAGAGGAAACCTTCTTGTGTGCAGGTACGCTGCACTCCTACACACAACATTCCAATCTCTTCCCATACAATTTTCCTATGTACTGTTCTATGAAAAACTGAACTTACCTAATTACAAGTTACCCTATCATGCTGATTTTGTAGCACATGTGTACGTCTGTTTGGTGGGATGTTCAGCCCATTTTCAGTCCTTAGGCAAAGCTTAGTTGCTGTGTCGTTAGATGAAGGTACTGCCTAAGCAAAGGCAAGTTGTGTATTTCAGTGGTTTCCTATTTCTAAGAAAATTCTGCAAGTTTAGAGAAAATTTCTGAAATGCTTTACCTGAAGTTTTCCATATCATTGATAAATCAGAAGTAGAGAGGTGCCAGTTATTTTTAAGCTCACAAGACTTTTTTTTTTTTTTTTCCCGACCTAAAAGAAGAAATTTTTTGGGAATTGTAGACTTGTTCCCCAAGGAATACTTAGGACAACTGTGACTGCGCTGTAGCTGGAGGACACGTGTTCTAGGCTTGGGCAGGAGCTGCGAGTCTGTCCGGTCTGTAGGTGGCAGTAGCGGGTGCCTTTGGAGAGCGCAGCCCCGGTTCTGCGGCAGCCCTCTTCGTCTCCTGCGCAAGCCCATCGTTTTGGAAAGCCTGCTGTTTCTCTCATAATACTTGGAATGCTATCATGCGTAAAATACAGGGGATATTAAGGGATGAAATCTTACACAGAGGTTTCATGTGCACCTGTGAGCAGGCATTTATTTGTGCTCAGGCTTGGAATTAAGACATTGGATATTTGAGAATATAGATCTGAGTCTGATAGATTTTTGTTATCATGAGTAAAATGTAAACCCTGTGTTTTACCAACCATTCCAAGGCTCTTTCAAGACTAGACCCAAGGCAATTATGAGACTGTAAGAAGCTGACATGTTTGGTAATGCATGGCTCATTGATACCAGCTTTCCTGAGTGTTTCATACATTGCTGAGGGTGTGTGTCTGGAGCAGGAATCACCTGGCTCGCAGATACTCTTCATGCTGCTGTTGCAGAAGAGCCTGGACACAGCCTGTAAAACTTCCTTTCTTATTAGGGATTTCATGATAATGAGATAATTCCTCTTTGTGAAGTGTTCAGACACAAAAGGATAGGAAGGAATCTCATTACCATGTTTATTCATTTCAGGTACAAAAGTAGGCACTTACTCCTCACCACTCACGTGTCAAGTACAGTATCAATCATTAAAGGTGCATCTTGGTACAAAGCTTACTTCAGCCATAAACTGCCTATCCAAAGAACTTTCTGTTTGGATCCAGTTATTGAATCACCTTTTACTGTTGTACTTCATGCAACACTGAAACCGTGAATCTGTTTGGGTTTTGGGGTTTTATTTTTGAATCTGTTCTAAAAACCATGCATAATGTTCTTGTCTCAAGAAGAAGGATACAGGCTGACAAAGGTGGTACATCCAGCTACAGAATGACACGATGTTCTTATACAGTGTAAATACAGTTCCCTTCACCAGGCTGACCACTTACATCTCCTTAATCCTATTCAAGGAAATTAATTTCCAGGTGCATAGCTTGGACTGAATGCATGTGTCTGCCTTTCTGAGAAGACACATGAAAAAGCAGCAGAGTAAGAAAAGTTTACTTCTAAAATCCCTGATTTCCACCTAGAAGGCGACTAGAACATTTGTCCAGATGTTAAGACATAAAAAAGTGCACAATCCATGAGACTTAAGCAATAGTTTTCCTAAAATGTATGCATAAGACAATACCTTCCCTTCTCTCTACCCTAGGAAAAGATTTCTAGATTTGTTTGCCTTGGAACAGCTGCTTAGGTAAGAGAAAGAACCCAAGGCTCCATCCTGTTTCATGCACTATGATTGTCCTAAGTTCTGTCTCATTTATCTACAGAGTATTTCTTAGTGGTGATAGTGCCATTGGCAGCAACATTCATGCCTGGTTTTAAGCTGAATGTACTCTTACTTTGCTATGAAAAAAATACAATCTTAAGTAGTGAAGACTATCCCTACATTGCTTCCCACACTTTCATTTTTTTGTTCACCTGAAATCCCAAGAAAAGTCTTGGGTAAGGTACTGTGGAAAGGGCAGAATATTATCCCATCGTGCAGAAAACTACCAAGTTTTGTCTAACCATTGGAAGAAGACCTCAAACTTTGTACATCATCAGAGAAGCAGATCTCTGAGAAAATATGAGCTTCTGAGAATTCCTAGTGTGGGAGTTCCAGTCCTGGGGCCTCCAGGTTGTCTTCCTGATGCCAGAAATATAGAGCCTGGCTTGCTCCAGATGAAAATTAGTTTCTAGTGAAACAAAAAATTTGTCTTGGTGATTTTTTTTCTCCTTTCAACAAGACTGCAAATTAAAAAAAAAAAAAAAAAACCAAAACAAAAAACCAAACTATTTCCTTGCCATCTCTTTGGCCAACTCATAATACTCAGTTTCTTCCACAGGATAAAAGCTGAATGTTGTGCTGCCTTCTGTTGTTCTCATGACTCCTTGTTCACTCTGCTGTGTCACTGAGAAGAACACTATGCTGAAGGTGAGTTGGTAAGAAAGGCATGTAGGTGACTATTTATATCACACTAATTCAAATACACACCAAGCCCAATTACACAAGTCTTAATTCCTATTTTATGGTTGTCAGTTGTATCATATATAAATTTAGCAATATTCTCAAACTGGGAAACAATCCTTTGGGAAATCATACAGATTCTTTTCATAAAGCTTAAATAGATCTTCAGTGTCCTGTCACAGATACTGTAAATGTCTCCATTTTGCTGTCACCAGTTAGAGAGCCTCAAGAAGTGGTAATTCCTGTTAGCTTTTCCCCTGTCAACTTTTATTTATCTTCAGCTTTAACCTCCTCCCTTTCTTCTTGACCTTAAGTTCAAGATTTTCACTTCATTCCCTTCATTCCCATGGTTATGAAAACTCATGAGTTATGAGTTCATTTGTATCGTCATTCACTTGGTCATTCTAACTCAGAATCACTGAAGCAGGGAGGACAAGAAAGCACATGACTTGACCCTAGACACATTTCGTATCATCAGTGACCACTTCAGACAGAACAAAGCCCCACTTCACCTAGGTGTAAAGTTCAAACAATAGATTTCATATGGATCCTTTCTGTTCCCTGACTACTCCTAAAATTCAGCTACCACTCAGTTCATTCATTGTGCCTGACCTTGTCATTTTAATCTAACTGCAAATTGAAAACAAATGTGTTTTTTCTTTTTTGCTAAGTATGTCCATTGCATCTTACAAGAAGTATTTTAATAAGTTAAATAAAAATAATAAACAATTTCTTCCTGTTTTGACTACTGTCAGACCTAGGTAAGAGGGACAACATTCAACAAAATAGTTGTAATTATCCTACTAATAGTCAATGCGCAATTTGATGACATGGGTGAGCTCACCTGATGTACCACAGATAGCACTGATTTATGAAGCCGTAATTGGGTTTCCAATAAACATTTGTCAAAATAATGTATTCATTCAAACCAAAGCCGCCTTTATTTATTCATATAAAAGAGCACTTAACTTTCCACAAAGAATTGCCTGCCATCATAAACACTCCATAAACAGGGGAAATTTATGAAGACACAGTACCAGAGGGTGATCGGTGGAAGACGAAAGTTCACTTTAACCCTTTGGAGAGCTGAGTTCCACCTCTTGCTTGTTACTGGTACTATACATAGTTCTTCCTAAAAGCCCCAAGCCCAAACATGAACCTTAGTATATTTAGATACTAAAGTATCAGCTCTTTTTTCTTCCATAGAGTCTCACATCTGAAAGTCTGTTTCCA